TTCTGTTTTGTAAATAAGTTCATTTATATAATTTAAAAAAAAATTAGATTCCACATATGAGTGATATCATATATTTGTCTTCCTCTGTCTGACTTACTTCACTTAGTATGATAATCTCTAGGTCTATCCATGTTGCTGCAAATGGCATTATTTTGTTTGTTTTTTTATGGCTGAGTAACATTCCATTGTATATATGTATCACATCTTCTTTACCCATTCCTCTGTCAATGGACATTTAGGTTGCTTCCATGTCTTGGCTATTGTAAATAGTGCTGCAATGAACATTGGGGTGCATGTATCTTTTCCATTTATGGTTTTCTCTGGATATATGCCCAGGAGTGGGATTGCTGGATCATATGGTAGTCCTATTTTTAGTTTTTAAAGGAACCTTCATATTGTTCTCCATAGTGGTAATGTAATTGTACCAATTTACATTCCCACCAACAGTGTAGGAGTGTTCCCTTTTCTCCACACCCTCTCCAGCATTTGTTGATTGTAGACGTTTTCTTTTTCCTTTTTCCTTTTTTGGCCATACCACACAGCATGTGGGATCTTAATTCCCCAACCAGGGATCAAACCCGAGCCCTCTGCAGTGTAAGCGCAGAGTCTTAACTACTGGACCACTGGGGAAGTCCATAGACATTTTCATGATGGTCATTCTGACTGGTGTGAGGTGATACCTCACTGCAGTTTTGATTTGCATTTCTCTGATAATTAGTGATGTTGAGCATTTTTCTTGTGCCTTTTGGCCATCAGTATGTCTTCTTTGGAGAAATGTCTATTTAGATCTTCTGCTCCTTTTTTGATTGGGTTGTTTGTTTTTTTGACATAGAGCTTCATGAGCTGTTTGTATATTTTGGAGATTAATTCCTTGTTGGTCACTTCATTTGCAAATATTTTCTCCCATTCTGAGGGTTGTCTTCTCGTTTTGTTTATGGTTTCCTTTGCTGTGCAAAAGCTTGTGAGTTTAATTAGGTCCCATTTGTTTACTTTTGTCTTTATTTTCATTACTGTAGGAGGTGGATCAAAAAAGGTATTGCTGCGATTTATGTCAAAGAGTGTTCTGCCTATGTTTTCTTCTAAGAGTTTTATAGTGCCTGGCCTCATATAGATCTAAGTCTTTGATCCATTTGGAATTTATTTTTGTGTATGGTGTTAGAGAATGTTCTAATTTCATTCTTTTACATATGGCTGTCCAGTTTTCTTAGCACCACTTATTTAAGAGACTGTCTTTTCTCCATTGTATATTCTTGCCTCCTTTGTCATAGATTAATTGACCACAGGTATGTGGGTTTATTTCTGGGCTTTCTATCCTATTCCATTGATCTATATGTCTGTTTTTGTGCCAGTACCATACTGTTTTGATTACTGTAGCTTTGTAGTATAGTCTGAAGACAGGGAGCCTGATTCTTACAGCTCTGTTTTTCTTTCTCAAGATTGGCTAGTTGGGGTCTCTTGTCATGAACATATATATTTTTTGCATATATCTTTTCTAATTAATGTTTTCATTTTCTTTAGTTATATACTCAGGAGTGGAATTGCTGGATCATATGTTAGTCTGTTTTTAAGTTTTGAGGAATCTCCATACTGTTTTCCACCATGGCTGCACCAATTTACATTCCCACCAACAGTGCACAAGGGTTTCCTTTTCTCTGCATCCTCACCAACACTTGTTATTTGTGATCTTTTTTGATGATAGCCATTCTAACAGGTGTGAGGAGATATCTCATTGTGGTTTTGATTTGCATTTCTCTGCTGATTAGCGATGTTGAGCATCGTTTCATGTGCCTGTTGGCCGTTCGTATGTCTTCTTTGGGAAAATGTCTATTCAGATCCTCTGTAGTATCTACTAATAGTAGAAATAATAGTGAACCCCCATTTGTGTGCCCAGGAGTGACTTCTCCTCAGGCCAGGAATGCCAACCTCCATATTTACAGTGGCTCTCAACTGTTTGTTATGCCTCATGTGCCTGGAGGGTTGTGACACCCTCCTGGCTGTCCCAGAAGAATCAGGACAGTTATTCTCAATTTGGAGCCCATTCTTGGTAGCTCAGGCTGGCTTGATAAAAGTTCCCAGGTCATTTGGACACCCCCTTCTTGCCCCCACCAAGGCAATTGCTCATCACTCCTGCCCCCACTGAGATTTATTACTTAGAGCAGCGAGTCTTAACTGAGCACGCATATTAGCATCTCCCACAGAGATTTGTTAAAATACACACTCTGCATCCCATCGCAGACCTGATGAATCATAATTACCCTGGTGGAGCACCAGTAAGTGTATTTCACCTTCCCAGGCAATGCTGATATACAGGCCTGGTTAAGAATTATCGTCTTTGTGGCTATCTCTCTGCTCAATGCTGTCTCACTCAGCAAGCACAACACTAAATCTTCTAGCAATAAATAAATAAATAAATGGCATCCACACAGCTTTTTAAAGCTCAGAGATGCTGACCATGAGTGTCAAACTAAGGAGGCAGAGCCTTTGGTGATAAGGTATGTGTATCCAGAGGAAGAACTCTGCATGTAAGAGGGCTCTGTATATAGCCCTGGACGTGTTGCGTCCTAGGAACTTAACAAAAGGCAGCTATTGTTATTATTAATAATTGTGGTGTATTGGCCTCCGAGACCCTAGCTCTTTGAAAAGCCTGTTTCCATTTTAGGAGAAAAGTTTCCAAACCCAGGAATTAAGAAAATGACTGGCTGTTTGGGAAGCATTTAGAAAATGTGACAAGAGGTGTCATACACAGGCTAGCAGCAGAGATTCCAAGAAAGGAAAGCACTGTGGCCTGTGTTTTCATTTCCCTTTTTGCTTCTGAAATGAGATAGGAAGGAGAGATGTGTGTCAGCAGCTGGTGTGGAGATGGGAGTTGATGGCCTCTCAAAACTCAGTCCCTAAGGTCTGGGAACAACACAGTGAAGTCCACATTGCCAAGGGCTTTGGTTTTTCCTCTCTTAGCATTCATACTTGAGGTTTGGGGCTCCTAGTTTCTGTGCAAAGGTGAGTGTAACCACATTTCCAGCTGAGCCTAGTGCAATGTCTCTGCCCCCTGACAGAATATACAGAGCTGAGAATTGGTTAGAAGATGGAAAAGAATGGACTCAACAGGGGGAGGAAATTCTGCCTTAGCTTTCTTCAGATGCTCCAGAAAAGGGGATTAGAAAGGCTCTTCAGAATTAAGACTGGAAAGGGAGGTCATCCCACTGGAGCAAAAATTGGGAGATAAACGTACTCAAGTCACATGAGACACCTGTGAAGTACTCTGAAAAGTACAGACTTCAGGACTATCTACCTCAAGAGCAACAGCATCAATCACTGTATCACTGGCCTGTACCACTGGTGGGGGCTGCAGACATCAGCTTCTGTTGAGGGTGATGCTCAAGGTCCTTAGTCTAGTCCTCGGCCCCTGAGCCTGAACCCTGCCAGGCAGAGAGGCAATCTGCTCAATACTTGGAACTTCCAGCTTAGTTGACTACATAAGGTATTTTGGTTTAGTAGGTCCTTAAATAAGACAATTTTTCTTTAGGTCTAATCTCTCTCCTGCTGACAGTTCCTATCCTCCTGGGCCTCACCCTTAAACTGCCTGCTGTTTATTTGAAAAGTGCAGATAGCACAATGCAAGCTGGTACTCTAGCAAACGTTAAAATCTATCTCAGGACATCTAGCAGGCAGAGGAAAACTGCGCTCACCCCCACTCCGTGCTATTCCTATCAGAGAGGACATAGAAAATATTCTCTCTTCTCTTGGCCGGCATCCTCCCCTTACTGAAAGACGCAGCGTGTGTGCATCTGAAATGGAGGTGTGTGGGGGGGGGGGTGGAGTCTAGCTTTCTGGCCTCAACAAAGACACAATGGTTCAGAGAAGGCCAGAGCAGAGCAACCAGCCAGGCAGAATCCAGGCCTCTCGGATCTGCGGGAAGGGTGGGCTGCCCTGTGCCGGTCCAGGGTGGAATGCCAGTCCTGGGCTCTGTTGCCTGCAGAGCCCTTCCTGATGTGACTTTATCAGACCAATCCTCACTCTCGCTGGTGGAGAGGGTACACACACGAGTGTATCCTTAGGAAGATTTCTCCAACATGACAAAGTGCAATTAGAAATCTGGGTTCTCTTTTCTTGAGCTTGGACACAAATTTGTCCTGAGATGGGAGAAGGCTCTGTAGGCAAAGGACTGCAGGGGCGGGAGTAGGCTACAGGCGCTGGCCTGTAGCTTCGCAGCGGTGACGGCAAGCGGCCGGCAGGTGTCAGTGCGCCCTCGCTCTGCCGCCGCGCGTGGCCTCCGCTCCAGGACCCCTCCTCACCGCGGTCTAGGGGGCGCGGTTCAGGTCCTGCCTGCTAATGTCTCTCAGACAGCTCTGCAGCTGGGACAAGTGGCCGTTTCTCCCCAGAGCGGAGCTCTGAACTCTGGCGGGGCCCGCTCCCCGGGGGATGCTTCCCATTTCGCCCCAGGGGTTGGATCCGGACGTGCACCTTCCTCTCTCACCAGCCCCACTGCCCCGCCGCCAGGAGCACTTGCGGGGCTGCACCGGATGCGACCCGTACCGGTGGTTGCTTCTCCCGATTCGGCCGGGGGTCCCCTACCCTTTCCGCCCGAGTCCCACTCAGCTCGATGTGGGCACTCCCGGGTGCCCGACGCGTTCTGCTCGGCGGTCGCAGAGATGCTTGGCCAATTCCCAGCAGGGACCGCTCCTCACTGCCCGGGCACGCTCTTTAAATCCCTCGCTCAAGGTACCCGCCTCCCCAAAGGGCCAGTTTTGCCAGGGGGCCAGAGCTCCAGTGGGTCCGGCGCCCGGCGCGGACTCCAGACCCGCGGAGGGGAGGCGCAAGGGGCGGGGGAGGGTCGGCTTCCCACGTGGGGGTGACGCCGGCTGCTCGGCAACGCCGGCTTGATCCTGGGGCTATAAAACCAGTCCACCGTGAGCGCCACGGAGAAGCACCGGCCCCAGCTTCGGCGCAGACGCCCAGCAGCCGGCGCGCCGCCGCCCGACCACCCCCAGCACCTTCTCCCCCAAGCCCTGCGCTCCTGCCCCAACTCACGCTGCCCTCGGACCCCAGCTGTCCCGTCGCGCTCAGCGCCCGAAGCTCGCCGGGCCGACGCCCAGGAGACCCCCTGCCTCGGCCGCGGCTCCTGGAGGGCCGATCGCCCACCCGCCTGGGCCCGCCTTAGGACGGGGGCGCCTTCATGCGGCCCGCACACCCCTCACCCCGCCGCCGCCTCCGACCTCCGCGCGCTGCGCCCCAGCCCCTGCAGGGCACGCAACTTTGGAAGTCCCGCGGCGCTCCGAGAGGCGGCAGAGTCTGCGCCCTGGCCCCAGCCCGGGCCTCGCCGACCCCGCAGCGTCTGGGGGAAGCGAGAGAGTCGGTAATCGCTTCGGGGATGTAAGGAGACAGACATAGGACCCCAAGCCAGCATCAGCACCCCTCGGCTGCCTCTCGGGTTGGGGGCGGGCCCCGCACACGGTAAGACCTCTTGCTTTCGCTCAGGCTCCAGAGTCAAAGATATAGATAGAGATATATTTAATTTCCTGTTATCCTTCCAAGTCATCAGGCCACCGATGATTTTTGTTCTCTCTTCTTGAAGAATAAATCTCTCTTTCCTCATCGGCTCGACCTACTACTCTCTCCCGCCTCTTAGAAATAAAACTTGGCTGTGCTTAGGAGCTGGGAGCGAGAAGGCGCCGACCCCGAGCGCTCGAAGCGCGGGCCGGGCGCGCTTCCCGGGAGCCGGGCCCATGGGCCATTAGCGGTCCCCCAGCTCGGGCTCGGCCTCCCAGAGGCCGCTTCTCCATGTGAGGCGCGGCGGGGCGAGCGGGGCGCAGGAGGAAGAGGAGGCTCAACGGGCGCCGGCCGGAAGGCAGCTGGCAGCAGGCCCAGGCGAGCGGGCACCCGCGTTCATGTTCCGCCAGGAGCAGGCGCTGGCCGAAGGCAGCTTCGCGCCCATGGGCTCCCTGCACCCGGACGCGAGCAACGCTAGCTGGAACGGGACCGAGGCCCCGGGGGGTGGCGCCCGGGCCACCCCCTACTCCCTGCAGGTGACGCTGACGCTGGTGTGCCTGGCCGGCCTGCTCATGCTGTTCACGGTGTTCGGTAACGTGCTTGTCATCATTGCCGTGTTCACCAGCCGCGCGCTCAAGGCGCCCCAGAACCTCTTCCTGGTGTCTCTGGCCTCGGCCGACATCCTGGTGGCCACGCTTGTCATCCCTTTCTCGCTGGCCAACGAGGTCATGGGCTATTGGTACTTCGGCAAGGCATGGTGTGAGACCTACCTGGCGCTCGACGTGCTCTTCTGCACGTCGTCCATCGTGCACCTGTGCGCCATCAGCCTGGATCGTTACTGGTCCATCACCCAGGCCATAGAGTACAACCTGAAGCGCACGCCACGCCGCATCAAGGCCATCATCGTCACCGTGTGGGTCATCTCGGCCGTCATCTCCTTCCCGCCGCTCATCTCCATCGAGAAGAAAGGAGGCAGTGGTGGCCAGCAGCCGTCCGAACCGCGCTGCGAGATCAACGACCAGAAGTGGTACGTCATCTCGTCGTGCATCGGCTCCTTCTTCGCGCCCTGCCTCATCATGATCCTGGTCTACGTGCGCATTTACCAGATCGCCAAGCGCCGCACCCGCGTGCCGCCCAGTCGCAGGGGTCCTGATGCCGCCGCCACGCTGCCGGGGGGCGCCAAGCGCAGACCCAACGGCTTGGGCCCGGAGCGCGGCGTGGGCCCTGTGGGCGCCGAGGCGGAGTCGCTGCCGGCCCAGCTCAACGGTGCCCCGGGGGAGCCCACGCCGGCAGGACCGCGGGACGCCGACGCGCTGGACCTCGAGGAGAGCTCCTCGTCCGATCACGCCGAGCGGCCCCCGGGGACCCGCAGGTCCGAGCGCGGCCCCCGGGCCAAGGGTAAGGCCCGGGCGAGCCAGGTGAAGCCCGGGGACAGCCTGCCGCGGCGCGGGCCAGGGGCGACGGGGCCGGGGGCACCCGCGGCCGGGCACGGGGAGGAGCGCGGCGGAGGCGCCAAGGCGTCGCGCTGGCGCGGGCGGCAAAACCGCGAGAAGCGCTTCACCTTCGTGCTGGCGGTGGTCATCGGAGTGTTCGTGGCGTGCTGGTTCCCCTTCTTCTTCACCTACACGCTCACGGCCGTCGGCTGCTCGGTGCCGCGCACGCTCTTCAAGTTCTTTTTCTGGTTCGGCTACTGCAACAGCTCGCTGAACCCGGTCATCTACACCATCTTCAATCACGACTTCCGCCGCGCCTTCAAGAAGATCCTTTGCCGGGGGGACAGGAAGCGGATCGTGTGAGCGCGGAGTCCGCGCCCCGCGAACAGGCTCGCGCCGACAGCGGCCGCTGGGATCCAGGGGCGCGTCTACGCAGTCCCAGCACTCCGAAATCTGGGTCCTGCCTATTCCGAGTTTCTTGGCCTGAGGGTTGCTCTGCGGCGCCCTGCCGGCATCTGCACTCTCCTACCAGAGAAAAGTACTGGCTGGGGGGTGGGGGGGGGACCGTGAGGGCACACGCCGCCCCCCCAATTGTTCTTAGGGCCGCTCCTCACTCGGAGCCATCTTCCTGGGTTCTTGGGCGGGCCCCCAAATCAGTATTGTTTCCTAAAAGTATTTTCACCTCCCCCGGATCCAGCTCTCACCGTGGTTCAGAGCAAGAACGAGAGCTCAGAGGGGATGGCTCTCAAAGGGTTAATAGATGGGGGTACCCAGCCCTGGCTCTCCTCCTCCCCCGACTCTATTTTTAAACAAAAGCTCAGGGCAGCCCTGCCCGCCCTCCCATCCCCCCTTGTAAACATACACTATTTTTGATAGTACACGTTGTCCGCGATGTCGCTTGGCTTTTGATGTTGGCATCCTGGCTGTTGGAGATGCTCTCCAGGCAGACACATTGTGGCTAGCTCAGGGCAAGCCTCTTTGCAATGTGAGCCCTTTTCTGTTGTCATTACCTCCCTCTGTGTCATTTTCACCAGCAACTGGTGACTGTCCCTTGGGACTGGACCTGCTTTGAGATTTCCTGAGGGGGAAAAGATTTCTGTCCATTTTTTCCCCTGTGCCTAACAGCATAATTGCCTTTTCCTATGTAAATATTACAATGATGGACCAAGACAGAAGTAAATGAACCTTTCTGCCTTGCAGCAGCCCTGTGTATAAAGCCATTAGCCTCTGATGCATCCTTCTTCGCCCCAGTACCTCACTTTAAAACCTCTTTCCAGTGTCCCCTCCCTCCTTTCCTCGGGGGCCACTGCTTGAAAAATATGTATGTTTCCATCTTGTATGTATGTGCACCCCTCCCTCCCCCAAAGTGCTGACTGTGGGGAATCTTTTACCTGCTGTTTTTAGACACAGAGAAGTGGAAATTATGTGGAAGAAGCAAACCTGATACAATTTGACCAAGGTAAACAGTTTGAAAAGACAAATGGGCCTGCCAAACTGTACAGTTCCTGCCCCAAGAGCTCCTGGGTATCAAAGTGTTGTCCATTTTTTCCTCCCTGTTTTTTCTGGTTGAGATCAAGTCATTAATGAACTCCCAAAGTCAAGGGAGGAGGGTGGAGACCTTGTTTACATCCAAGTTTCCCCATGTTTTAGACAGAGACTCTTTAAGGCCTGTGCTCTTATTTCACTAAAGAAAAACTAATGTCAGCACATGTTGTTAATGACAGTGGAATTTTTTTTTAAATAAAAAGTTTACAGCTCAAATGTGAAATAAATATGAATTAAATGGTCTGTCTGTTATCTGAGTTTTCAAAATCATTAAGACTCTGGGAATGTCTGAATTTATGTATATTTGAAATTCAAAGATACTTATGCATTATAAAACACCTTTAAAAGTACAAGCAATAACAAAGCTGCCATTTACCATGTGTTTCTTCTGTGCTAGACATGATGGTAAGTCTGTTATAAGCTCCGTTTCATTTAATCGTCCCCCAAACCCCATGAGGTAGGTACTATTATGATCCCCATTTAACAGGTGAGGAAACTGAGTCTCAGAGGACAAGTGATTTGCTCAAGGTTAATCACAGTGGTGGGAGTGCACTGCATGCAGCATGATCAGGTTCTAGGGTCTGTACTCTTCACCCTGCAGCCTTGCCGGAGTTACATCACTAACACTTTGCAGAATGCTCCCAGAAGTGAGGTCTCTACACAAGGTGTGCTGTATCCACAGAGCATGGGGTATATCCCAAGTGTGGAGATATACACAAAGTGTGTACGTGCTGTAAAGTGTCTTTATGCCCTAAAGTTTGTTATGCCTCAAAGTGTATATATCCCCCAAGTACGGTACATGCACAAAGTGTGCCATATACTCCAAAATGTGTGCCACACCTTACAGTGTGATGATATATAACATGTGGTATATAGCCCATTGTATGGTATATGCACCAAGTGTGGTATAAACACACCTAAAGGGAACCACGTATTAGTTGGTGGCTTGAATGGTCTCTGGCAGAAGGTTGGGGTGCTTCCTGTTGCATTCCTGTAATATCAAGTTCTGTCCTGATGTCCAGGAGGGCCTAAGACCCCTGCCCTGTGGTTATGGGTATGGCACTTCGAAGCTGGAAGTGTCCTGAGAGATCCAGGAGTCCAGCCCCTCATCTTTCCAGAGGAAGTGACTGCTTAGGGTCCCACAGCTCTGGGCGACATTCAGTTAGAAGCAGCTGCCCAAGAGCGGAGTAGTTCTTGGATGTGTATCATCATATGCTGTGCTGGTGAAGGACAGACGCTGCCCCAGGAGCTGGGTTTGAGGGGCAGTCAGAAGTGACAGGTCACGGTTTGGGGGAAGATGGGTTTGTAAGGCCAGCTGCCTACAACACAGGTGCAGCCCAGCTCTGGACACCCCCGGAAGCAGGGCTTCAGCTCTCCTCCACGTGTTCCCTCTGGGCAGCGCCTGCAGCATCTCCTTATCTTATTAAGGAGAGTAGGTGTGCAGGGGTGGGAGGGTGCAGAGCCCTGAGAAGTTATCTGGGCTTTGAGGAGCCTGGGAGAAGAAAGACCATGGTTCTGAGGGGTTTTGTTAGAGGTGGGAAGGAGTTTCCACCGTCATCAGGGTCCTCTGATGCTGAAGAGAGGACAGTGGGCAGGCCCTTGGCTCCAGCGACCCTTGTCTGGAGCTTCAGAAGCCATGGCCTTTGGCACCAAGGCTGCCTGGTCTCGGGCTGTGCCCTGCTCCCCACCCCCACTGCAGCCTCCTTGTCCCTCCCCGCTCAAGGCAACCATTGCCCCAAAGGCAACAGTGCCAGACAGTAGGCCACCCTGGCAGGTCCCCAGGAACTGGGCTGTGTGTCCCAGACATGGGGCAGATACAAACACTGCTTGCTATTAACTCTGTGTTCTGCTCCATCTTCAGGGAAGTGGCCCTGCTCCCTGGGAAAGAGGGAAGTGTGGGCATTGGTGCCACAGAGGGCAGGCCTCTGGTGTCATATACCACACCCCCCCCTCCATTCCAGCTGCAGAGAAGCCTCAGAGATGGATGGGGCCTGGGGAAAGTGGGGGAGAGAGGGCTGGAGCCAGGCTAGGATGCTGGGGGCATCCCTGTTTGTTCACTGCAGAGAGCTCAAGCCACAGTCTAAAAGGTCTCAGGTGGGGAGGGGATTTGAGGAAGATAAATGGCTCACTCGGGGCTCTCAGCCTAAAAATCAGGAGATGAGACGGTCACCCTACAGCTTCCTGTCCATACCTGGTCCTGATTATCTGGGCCTGTCACTGTGGTGGAGTCTTCTATTTTATGCGACTTTGGTTGGGGCATCAAAAACCACTGGCTTTGGGGTCTGAAGTGTGTCTTGCCAGATACACTCCCACAGGATGCCTGGAGTTAGGGGAGGGGCAGCCTTGTTTGAGCCTGGGCACCAGTGCTACATCCTCCCTGCAAGTCTTTGTTCAATTTCTTCTGTGCTAAAGGGCTGGAGAAGAGAATGACAGCAAAGTGGCTTAGGCTTTCCCCTCTGTATGATTCTATAATAGAATTGCATCAGAGTTTTAGAGCTAGAAGGATCCACCTACATCCTCAACTCCCATGTTGTGTGGTGGGGGGCACTGAGACCCTGAAAAGCAGGCTGGTTCTGTGGCTTCCTGGGGTCCCTCGAGCCTGCGCCTCCCCATGACTCTCTGCCTGTTGCCACAGATATCCAACAGGAATTCATCTCGCTGTTGGACATGGTGAGTTGCTACAAACGCCAAACACCCTGGCAGGCACTCTTCCAACCATGTGTGTGCCCTGCAGAGCCCAGCCCTCGTCCCTGGGAAGCTAGCAGAGATTAGGGCCTGCCCTGCACCCAGCAATCCTGAAGGCGCTGTAGGGAGACAGGATGTGTCTGCGTGAGGCATTAAGTAGCCGCCATGTAACAGCGATAGCTGGGGGCAGTAGTGGACCTTGAGTGTCCACTGAGGGTAACGTGCCTCTTTCTGGACGGTGAGCATGCGGTGGGGTAGAGGTCGCTGTGGCTGCAGGAGCTCAGAGATGCCCAGGGAGCAGGGGCAGGAAGGCAGATCTGGTTCTAGCAGCTGAGCCCCATGAAGCAGTGCCAGGCCTAGGCGGTGCCCCGAGGCCTAGGTCAGGCCCCAGATTTCCTTTCTCCAAGCCCATCCCTGGGGACAGCATGGCAAGTGTCTGTTCCCATTTGGGGACACACATCAGGAAGCCCGCCTCCCCAGCTCCAGCAGAGTAGCAGGATCCAGGTACCCAGAGCCAGGGCTCAACATCACCCTCACCTGCAGGCCTCTGTCCTGGGCCCTGCCACCCCGCCACGGTGGGCCTGGGGTCTGGGCTGCAGGAAAGAGCGCCTTCCACAGCAGAGAGCACACTTGAGAGGGAAGCCCTGCGAATTCACTGAGTGCAGTCACAAGCACCAGGGTCTGTTTTGGAAACAGCATCCATCTCTTTCATCACCAGAAGTCCTGGGGGTTAGAGTTCAACGGAAAAGGAAACAGGGCCTATTGGAAAGAGCATTAAGAGGCCTGGGCTCTAGCGCCAGCTTTGCCTTTTACCAGCGGTGTGACCTTGGGCAAAGCCCCTTCTGAGCCCCCATGTCTTCATTATAAAGTGAAAATCGTTGATCTGGATCCATGTTATTTAAAAGTCTGTTCTGTTGAATTTACGTAACTATAAAATCAGTCTCTCTCCTTCTCTCTCCCATCTATCATCTGCCTCTCTGTCTGTCTGTCCGTCCATCTACATCATTTAGCTGATGAAATGCTGGGTTAAGTGACCTTTAATAGGTATCTTCTGTTTAGGACCTCTCAGAACCTTGGCTATGCCAGGGTGGATTGTGATTCTCAAAAGGGGATGATATGGTGTGCTGTTTCCCAAACTCCCTGGACTGCAGAATCTCATTTTTCACAGAGCATCTCAGTGAATTGTGTTTTGCTGGAACACTTGTTGGATCTTGCTGGGCCAAGGGATCTCACCAGGCTTTTCTGTTGATGGGTTTTGAGCTTCTATGAAATGCCGGCTCTGCTCTCTCCTGTCCCTGCTTTAGGTGAGGCCCACTGGCTCGGGAAGGAATGTTCTTCTTGGGGACAGCCAGCTCTAAGAGTCATTGGCTTTACCGATGCTTGGGGTAAAAGCGAGTTTGGTGTGTTTTTCAAATGTGGGCTGTGCCTTTGTGTGTGTGTGTGTGTGTATACATGTGTGAAAAGTGGATGTGAATGTGTCTGTGTCTGTGAATGGATGTGTGTGTGTGAACACCTGTTTTAAATGGATATTTCACTCACCGGGATCTGGGGAGTAAGCAGCAGGGGAGTTGAGGGTAGATGTGTATGTACCGGATGAAGAGGTCATAAGG